AGAAGATGAGGTACTTTAGTATATTTTCGTATAATTTTCGTATACAATATCAACCAGGTAATTTCTCGTTTACCAATCTTAAATATTTTAAAATTGTGGGGGTGTAGGTAATTTTACTTAATTACTTGAAGAAATATTTTGGCTTTTCACCTAATGATATTACTCTAAATCTGGGAGTAGAGAATATGTCATTATATATTTGTATATGAACAACATGCTAATGATTGACGCATGCAATCAATAATATTTAAAAATTAAGGTTTCTACGATCAAATTTTGAAATGAAAGACATAGGTGAACCCAATGTGATGTTAGATATTAGAATCACAAAGAAGGGGGATAGTATATTACTATCCCAAGAATAATATATTGAGAATATATTGAGAAACTTCTTAAGAAGTTTAGGTTTTATGACCTAGGTTTTATGACCTCAAACCAGTGAGTACCCCTTATGATGCTAATTCTAAATTAATAAAAAACAGAGGAGAATCATTATCTCAATCTCAGTATGCCCAGATAATTGGGAGCTTACTGCACTTGATGAGTTTTTTCTAGACCTAATATTACTTATGCAGTAGGTAGACTGAGTAGGTACACTCAATGTCCAAATCAAGAACATTGGGATGCACTTTCTAGGCTTATGAGATACTTTAGAGGTTCAATGGATTATGCCATTGAATATAGTGGATTTCCCGCTGTACTAGAAGGGTATAGTGATGCTAACTTGATCTCTGATTCAGATGAGACAAAATCTACTAGTGGTTATATATTCACACTTGGGGGCGGTGCGATTACATGGATATCAGCCAGACAAACAATTATTGCAAGATCAACAATGGAATCTGAGTTTGTCGCTCTTGAGATGGTTGTTAGTTTGGCTGAGTGGTTGAAAAACTTCTTAGCAAACATTCCACTAGGAATGAAACCAACCCATCGGTGTCAATACACTGTGAGTGCCAATCGGCAATAGCTATAGCTAAAAACAAAAATTACAATGGAAAGAATATACATATTCAATTGAGACACAATTTTGTGAAGCAGCTGCTAAAGAGTGGAATTATTTCCATTGATTTTGTGAAGTCAGAACAGAATCTAGCAGATCCTCTGATAAAAACCCCTGAGAAGACAAATAATATTAGAAACATCAAGGGGAATGAGACTTAAGCCACTTGCAAACAAACAAGTGATGGTAACCCAACCTTTGTGATTGGAGATCCCATGAATAAGGTTCATATGGTTAAAAACAAGTCACTTGTTAGTTCTGATAGCACTAAATTGATTTTAATCAATTATGTCCATTCCTATGGTGTGTGTGAAAGTGCTAGAGACTGCATTATTGAGAAGCTAAACTTTGTCATTAAAATTCTATATGGTGATAGAATTTTATCTTAAACAAAGTTTTTAATTCATATCCCTTATGGGTGGTGTATGATTTGCAGCATACACTTGATGAAATCACCTATATGAGTGTCGAGTGGGGCCGCTTGCATGAGATCTTGGCACGATCTCTAGAGCACTCATGAGTATCGGGCACACGCATGGCCTATTAAGTGCAACACAGCGATAACATCAAGGATTGTGAGGGTGTATTGTGATTGAGAAACCTCTAACACACGTCAAGTGTCTTTGGTTCATATAGCTTGCTATACCAACTACATTGTGTGTTAAGTGTTTAAATCTAAGACTGGTTCATATAGCTTGTTATACCAGCTCTGATGCATTACATCCTTTGAGACCCATAACAAAAGTTTCTTATCTTTTTTCTTTTGCAATAAGTGGGGGATTGTTGTAATAATGTTAGATTATTGCAAAAGAAAACGTTGGATTGCAACGGTCAAAACTTTAATTGTCAACAACGTTTAAATTCATTTTCTTAATTGTTCCAACTGTAAATATTTAATGGTTTTTATTGTGTTTTATTAATTTTATTCTTCCCTAGCTCTATAAATAGAGAGCTCTTCCCCCATTCCAAAAAACAGTCAGTCTTTTCTGATTCTCCTTTCTTCTTTTTCTCTTCTAAAATTATTCTGGGTTTATTTTATACTCTTTTTAGAGATTCTTGTTAATACACCGCAAATAAGTCCTTAAGGACAGTGAATCTACACGCCTCAGGAAATATTGTTCGTGATCATATCAGTTTTTATACAACAATATATATATATATATATATATATATATATATATATAAAATAATTTTTTAAATTATGTATAATATTTACAAAATCAAATATAAAATTAAAAAAAAATGTAAAATTGCTGGAGAAAGATACTTTAGAAACTTATGACAAATTATACATCTCACCTCGATTCTATTAACAAAATTTTCCTATTCAACATTTTTCTTATTCGTTTTTATATTCTTCCGCGTTGTGGAAAAGATAATAAAAACAAATAAATTGCTTATGTTAACTTGTTACTTTTAAGTAAAAAGGTAAGATGTAAACTTACTCTGTTTATTTAAGACCTTGGGAAAGTCTTTTCATAGCTTAGTGTATATTTCAATATATATATCTTCATATTTGAATTTAAAAGTGATATAGTCCTCTCTGTTTTCGACAGGGAATATAAAGCCTCTGTCTTCTTCCAATTATTTTATGAACTTATAAACAATTATATATAAATAATTTTGTATAAAAATATACTTTACTTTATTTTCTTTAATGTGAATTAGAAATTAATATCTTTTAATAATTTAAAATGAGAATAAAATTAATAAGCCGTCCATCATTGATTTGAAAAGATATATTAATTATATTGTACCTATATTTAATCACTTTACATATTGTGCAGTTCCTCTTATACTTTCCATTTTTTATCCTATGTCAAAAATATCTTACCGTCGGTTAAAAAATTTACTTAACCATTGTTCGAATGTTCATTAAAAAATTTACTTTGATTTTTCTTTTATTTTACTTTTTTTGTTTTTATTTATTAATACTAATAATAATAATAATAATAAAACATGTTAAAAATTTAATATTTTAAATTAAAAAAATTATTTATTTAAATTTCATAAACAAAAATTGTTTTTTAATATAATAAATATTTAATTAATTTAATACTTTTATATAATTACATATATATTAATATTATAATTTATAAAATATTATTTATTAAAATAAATAAATGAAAAATATTATAAAATTAAATAAAAAAACTTAAAAAAAATATGTTAACCGTATTTGGAAATACGATTAACATATTTAGTTTTAATTATTAATGTTAACCGTATGGTTAACATATCTATTTCTATTTTTTTAAAAAAAATTAATATATTTTTTGTTAAATTTTTTATTTTGTAACTTTTTAATATGTATTATTATTGTTATTATGATTATTAAATAAAAAAATAAACTAAAGAAAAATTAAAAAGAGAATCTTTTGACGAATATTAAAATAAAAAATAATAAAAATAAAAAATTTAAATGTTTTAACCGGTTTTCGAATATCCATGGAACATTTTTGGCCTTAGAGGTGTGGGATGAAAATTTGGAGTTGGAGGAAAACTGCTCTACATATTTCCATTAAGATCAAGACATTTTCATACTTTCACACTTTTAACCATAATTCATGTCCTTTATAATTCGCGTCCTATAAGTCTTGATTTGTAATTTTGATTTTCTTATTACATTATATTTTCTAACTGAGCTCTAAACCTAATCTGACCACTAAGTAACTAAAATATGAAATAAAATATATAAACGCGTACAAATTAAAAAGTTAACCAAAATTATGAATATCACGAAGATTAAAATTGTTGATAAAAAATTAAAAGAAATCAAAAGTACAATTTAATAAAAAAAAATTAAATTTGATTGAATTCCCTTTCTTTTGAAAAGAAAAATATAACTACAAATTCAAAATTTCAATAACTACAAAAATTATACTTACGTAATAAAAAACACTCAATTACACTTGAACTTATAATACTACGAAGGATTGACATATGTCTCCAGTGTCTTCAAACTTATAACATGTATTGTGTATTAGTGTATTTTTAAGCTTAATTCAATCTCACAAAATCGACTTGTAAAGTAAGATTTATATTACATTTATATATTATAAATTGATCTTATTTTTAGTTGACGTGAGACTTTCAACATATATTTTTTACGTCGAAATATACACATCTCAAATATAGGAGTAGAATTAATAGGTGGTCCGATATGGTCCGATAACGGGTAGGTGAAAAAGAATGCACACATGAAATGTTTTATTTGTTATGTTTTTTTTCTTTTCGTGAAAATTGACGTAAAATAACACACAAGTCATTATTTTCTTTTAATCAGCACACAAGTTATTGATGAATTGTCAAGCAAATATTAAAGAAAATGCAGGATTCACTCTTAAGATATATCAAGTGCTAAACATTACAGAGTAATCCTAAAAGTTTAATTGCAAATTAAAATAAAGTTTTATACAATATTATTAATATTAATTTGAATGATGATATATCGCAGTATTTTTATTTAATATTACTTTTAGAATTGTTATGACACAGAACTTTCAATTATATTATTTATTAGAATATTAATTTGAATAACAATAATTTAAATATTTCATGATATTCATTATACTTTTAAATATATTATATGTTTTTTGTAATATAAAACATAATTATATAAATAAAATATAATTGTGTATACTCTATTATTTATTTTTTTAATATTTTCATAATTATAATTTTGATGTAATCAAAATTTTATAGTAATAATAGTAGTAATAATGTTGATAATGATGTATATCAACCCTAAAATTATATTTTAACTTCTCCATAGCAGTTGTAGTCCTCCAAACTTTATTCAAAACCTCTTTTTTCTTTCATTTATATACACTGCCTAAATCAACATGAAAAAATACATTTCAAATTAGAAAGGCAATTTCAAGAAGACAAACTAAATTAATGGGAAAAAAAAAACCATTTTACTCAAATATCTTTAAAAACCTTTTTGAAGCATACACGAAATATAGATTTTACGAAAAATACCAAAAACAATCAATAAGCAGAATAGTTGGAAATATAATAACGCTCCACAAACTTCACAGTTGCATGAGTATTTAGTTCGTACAAGAAATGCAGAAAATCTGAATGAAGTTGATTGAAGAAAAAATAAAGTATTTATTATGCTGCTGCAAGTTATCAAGCAATTAGAAAGCTTTGTTGAAAGCTTGAAAATGCCCAACTCAATATTCCTCATCTGAGTTGAGAGACGCTGCTTACACAATCCACTCCCTAGAGTGGATTTGGTAATTTTTCATTCTTCTCAGCAAAAGGACCATCTTTGGAAGGTAGTTCATCATTTCAGCAACTCAAAAGGACTGAGGAGGCCATAAAAAGAACCCAGGAACAGCAGGTGGTGGTGGAAGGATGGTCAGTGCAGTTGCATTGGTCACAATTGCATCAGACTCTTGTACTGAGCTACTACTTCCACTGTTGGAATGATGAAACTGGTGGAAAAGGTTTTGTGGGTACGCGTTCGCAGAATCATAAGGTATAGATGCAACTGGCTGAATGGCAGAGAAATTGATGGTGCTAGTTTCGTTTGTGCCCTCAGGTTGTTGTTCATTAGTAACAATAGCTTTCTTCTCCGATTCTGGGGAGGACGAAAGCTTCAATCGTTTTGCTACCCCACCTACTGGAAGAGAGCTATTCAATATATTCTCCACATCATATCTGCTCATCTCAAAATTTGTTACAGCGCTTGCACCTCTGAACTTTATGGCTGCAATATCATATGCCTCAGCTGCTTCCTCTTCAGTCGCTGCAACAATGCAACAAAAACTATTCAACTTCCAGAACAAGAAAAACGAACATTACAGAACACGTAAGTAACAAAAGTTGTTTCAACTTTCGAGTCAGGCCAGTAAACCAGTGTTCAACATTGTTAGCATTACTCTCTACTACTATAAATGAAGACTTTGAGGACTTAATTTTTTAACATAATATTATGTCACGGGCTCAAACTATACGATCCGTGAGTTTGGAAACACAGTAGAAGCGTGAAAAACACAGTGAATTCATGATACCAGACACCCTAGATGTCATTTGTGAAACATGATATTTAACCATAATCACAGTGTTGAAACAAGATAGGGTATAAACTTGCCAAATGTTCCCAGATATAGATCCTTGTTTCCCGCAACTCGGCCGATTCTTGCTTGCCATCTACCCTGTTGATGATGCCTGAAAGTTCAAAAAAGTTAAAGCATAAGAGAAAAAGGGAATATAATAACAAGGTAGTAAGTACGTCAATAGTGTCATAAGTTTTGATTTTAATGCACAAACCTCGTAACCCCCCTGTATGCGGAAGCTCCCCTTGAAAACCCACTACTTTTCCTGCAAGGAAACCGGTGCAATTTTAGTTCCAGGATAGAAATATTGCGATAAATACGTTTAACTGGGAAGTGTGCGCTAACCTTCGCAGTGATGCAATGAATTCTTGCTTTCCTGAATGTTTCATCTCCTCCAATTCCTTTGTATAATTGGAAATCTAAGACATTGGACGATAAAAAAACATGTTAAGCGCTAAAGATCCAATACGGTTCCTATTTCTACATTTCAAGTGTCCCCAATATAAATCTATAAAGTTCTGTATTTGAGACATATAATAGAAAAACTAAGTGTTTGACAATAATATCCATGCTAAATCGTTGCGCTGAGGTTCCTGCAAGATTCTACTTATTGTTGACCAGTTCAACTTTGCTGAGACCCTTCATTTACGCAGATCATTAGCCTCCACTTTTCGTATACTACCTAATGCATGTTTCTCTGATACCAGGGGGTGACCAAGTTTGATTTTAACTAGTATCAAGTGAAGCATAATACACGAACTTGAAGTGTGAACTAAAATCATTCACTCAGCAGAATTTACCTCACTCTTTAACCCCGTTTCAATACTTTCAACTCAACTACATATACGTACGATTTCATGCACACAACTAATGGAGATCTGAACAGAATATTATTAGAAGTGACTATTACAGGAAAGTTGGTGGTTGCTGTTGGTCCCCAGTACTTGATAGCTGCTAAATCATACGCTCTAGCAGCCTTTTCCTCCTTGTCATATCCACCTAATAATACATACAAACACAACAATTTATCATCTGATATAAAGTATTAAGTTTAAAATAAGTTGGGAAATGACCAAAGATAAACATTTCTTACCCAAGTACACTGTAGAAACAGTCAAAGGACGTGCGACACAGTGATGAAGTGCGCAATGCCACATTCCATGCAAAGAAACAGCAATGAAAAAGCCATGAAAAATCAAATTTAACCTTATGGATCGGTCAAAATAATCAGGTAAAAAACTACTTTTCTTAGGAAAAATGTAAACGACCAAAGGAAAAGTGATGAAATGCATGCAATGGCGCCTGCACGCAAGTTACTTTAATATTTTTACCCTCCTTTTCTCACTTTTCTTTGGTTCCCATTCTAGCCAAAAGATAATACACGATATGCCATCCATCTGCGATGCCCGTCTTTTCTAATAGCAGACAGACACTGGAGGACCCCATCAAGGTTTAATAGTAGTAAAAAGTTATAAGAACCGATTGATGTGAATTTTCAAAATTTTGACTCCACAAAAGCTTAATAATCCACTAGAGCCAAATAAAACCAGGCCAAAAGAAAATGTCAAATTGCCTATTCTAAAGAGGAGACAAAATGCCTTTAATTTCCCTTTTCTTGCAAAAGTGATTATTGTTATTATAAGATATTAGCAGTTATACATGTAACTTATGACTGCAAAAACATCCAAGGATCTGATAAATCCCGTGAATTTGTTTCAGAATCTAGACGACATTATTATTTGCGGGCCCGGACACTGTAAAAAACCTTTCAGCCAAACATGGGACTCCCTCCACATTCATGTAAGTGCAAATTTCAATACAGTGAGCAAGAAATGATGTTGTGGTCAAACCCAGCTTTCCTGGCGAATTGAAAGCAAAAGCAAAAGTTAAAGCCAAACTCAGAATGAGAGAGGGTCTCTCACATTTGGAATTGTCCCTTCCAAACTTCCACTACGGAACACAAACAATGCTCTATTTATTTTTAAGTCTAAATGTACTTAGGCAATTTTAACGTAAAAAAACGAATTTAAAGTTTCAACATACATTTCAATTTACCAAAATCAGATTTTAAACAAAATACAAAAGCAGAGGCATTCCCGCAAACAGGTCCCGAACAGGAGAGAGATTAACCAGGAAAAATGGCGGCACATTGGATCAAATCAACTGAGAGATATTGCAGACCCCACCCACGCACAGTGACAAAACGGCGGCACATCGCATCAGAGTAATCTCATGCTTTATTTTTAGAACAGAAAAAATTGTACAGGAAAAAAATTACTAAAAATGAAATAGAAATTTTCATTCTATTTTGAAAATTTGAAAAAGACGCAAGTAAGAAATACTTAGTACATGAGTACACATAATAAACATTAATTTAACTGCACTTTCAAATGCATGCAACCTCTTTTTCTGCACTACAGTAAGTTTCCCTATTTATTTCCTTTTGTGTTGCTCGTATTTTCAAAGTTGATAATAAATACATTTAACAAAAAAAAAAAAAAAAGTTGAAAACAATCGAAATGAAGAGATATTAGAGAGAGAAGAACCTTGACGCCCCTTCCTGGCCTGACCCTCTCGTCTACAGCTGTTATCCCATAGATGCGCTTCATATCTACCCGTCCATCGGTGTCTGCAGTGAACATTCCCAAAAATACAAATTAATAACAGTAATACAAAAGGAGCTTGAAAACATGCCGATTTCATCACGCCCTTGACCAAATTTCAATAAATGACAACTGAACCCTCAACAAGCCAGACTGGTTCATTAATTTAAGACACAAAAGGAGCTTAGCAATGATAGAATAATCATAATAATGTTTATAAAAATAACACTGAACAGATTCACCATAAAAAAAATTGAAGGGTTGATGGTGGTGTGGTGTTTTCCTACCTTGTGACCCCTCTGTATATGGAAGTTCTCTGGCCAATAGTATGAGAAACCTTCTTAGGTGTAGCAAGCTCCACCGCAGTGATGGCTTTGTCATGTCCAACAGCATCACATAAAGACAAAGCTCCTTTGCCAGACTCTCCTGAGTGGGCACCTAACTCAGCTGGTGCAACCAGAGTGGTCTTGTCTGAGGCCGAGTCATCCAACTCAGAGCTCGAGTTGGTACCCGAGAATGCTTGAAACCCTGGAATCGCGTTCAGATCTTGCTGGTCGCCGAAGTAAACAGAGGCAGAGCCATGGTCATAAATTTGGGTCAGCGAAGAATCGTCTTGCTGCGTCTCAGTTTGGTTCTCAAAAAAATCTTCCGCTTTCGGCACCAGCAGTGGCTGGTTTTCACTCTCAGAATCCATTAATTCATTGGAATTTGTCCACCCTGCAAAAAACAAATCCCAGTAAAAAAATATAATAATCATAAGCATGTGTATATATTGTGTACACAAGGAAGAACAAGCTTGCTACCCTGAATGTTAAAAATATTGTGAATTACGAAGTGAGAAATGAAATCGGAGATCGTGCAGGATAAATAGGAAGGGGTTGACGTGGGTGAGTGAGTTGGGTTGTGAAGAACCCTTCCATTCCAAAAGAGTAAACGCATAAAGAAGAGTGATTCAGAGAAGTGGCGTTACCATTGGTGGCATAAAAGTTATCGAGCATGCAGTGAGAGGAAGAGTCCGGGGATCTGAGCATTTCCACGGGAGTCAACGAAAACGTAAGCCAATTTGTGGCACCGGCCATGGGTTTTGTGTGTCGCTACGCTTCGACCAGATCAGAAAAACAAGGACAGTTTCAGAAACGAGTTTTCTGCCGAAACAAACAAACAAATGACCGAACAAAAAAACAAAGAAAGAAGCGGAACCCCGAAACTGAAATCACCTCTCTCCAGTCACAGCCGAAGGCGTTGCACTGTGTATCTTTGTGTGTGTGTGTGAGAGCGATAGACAGAGCTATTCCAGCCCCACCATGCTGATAGTACTATCTCTCATAAATAGATGAAAGGAAAGAAAATAAAAGAAGGTGCTAGGGTGGGTGATGGGTTAGAATGAAATTGGCGAAGAATGCATGCAAGAACAGTTTCTTGAATCAAAAAAGAGTTTTTAATAAAGAGAGAGAAAACAAGCTTCGAAGGGAAGATGAGTTGAGTGGAAAGAGCAAGGTGTTGGCTTATAAGGGGTGGGTTTAGCGGTCTCGGCTGTCAAAAGAGAGAGATTCAATATTACTTTCCACATAAAAATTCAGTTTCATTTTGAAAAATCTTGTGGACAACTCTTTCTTTTTTTTTTTTTTCTCTTATTTTCTTTTTATTATTAGTATTATTGTTCTTAACAGAAGAAAATTGTCTGAAAAGAAAGAAGGTTACCAAAGATGCGGGCTGCAAAAAAATTGAAGAATTTGGCAGGGTTCCGTAGTATATTACCAAAATAACCTCACTTTTTGTACAAAAAATATTATTAAATTGGGAAAAACAATTCGTTTTAGTCGCACACATGTCTTGCATGCAAATGCGACTCTTTGTTTACACTCTTTCAGAAATTATTCTATTTAGATGAATGGGTTACCATAATATCAGTAAACAAATAAAAAGTTTAAGGTTTAATTATCAACTTGGTCTCTTAACAAGAAAGTATCAACTTGTTATTATAATGAAAAAAAAAATCATAAAATTTTTATTTATAGTTCTGTCAATTTAATTGTAATTTTTCTACGGAGATAAAGACATATAAGATCCATATATATATCCATCAAAGCTGAATATTTCTTTAATATTTGGATTTTGTATGCTTTTCTTATACCTCTAGTTTTGTTACGTTTATTCGTGCTCTCAAACTTCACGGTCTCTCCGGAGTGTATATGTACATGATATTACGTTCAAGTCATTAAATTTCATATAAGATTTAACTTTATTAAAAATGACCTGATGGTTATGGAAGACGATTTCGTTCTAGAAAAGCCATCATGTCCATGATTAAATTTTCTGAATAAATGACGATTTTGTGTAAAATGAATTATTAACATAAGTACACTTAATCATATTAACCATAAATTAAATTAATCAAAGCAGTGAGTTGTAACGTGATATCTGTAACGTTGAAGTCCACCGGTGTCTGATGATTTCAATATAATTTACATTAAGAAGAAATCGTTATAAGATGACAACTTCTATAATAATTGAAATTAACTTTGAGTTTCACGATTTTGGTTATAAATAAGTCGAATTGAAACTGTTATAGTCCATTATAACTTTGATTTATTTATATTACAAATTTGAGTATCAAATTAGAACTTAGATGTGGCCATGTTTTTTTGTTATTTTCTTTTAGAAACATGGGAAATTTTTACTAGGTTATCTAATAATTATAATTCTAAATTATTTTGAAAAAGTTACACAGCGCAAGTTAAAAATAATAAAGTCGTATAAAAATTTTAAAATCGTGTACCAATACACAACTTCAATTCAACTTAGTTTTTTTTTAACAATAATATTCATTGAAATTATTTTTAAATAAGTTTATCGTATCTAAAGTTGAAATTATTTTCAAAGACCTCGTCGCACCTTAGGACAATTTTAGTGTAAATTATTTTCAGATAAATTTTTAATCTCTAACACAACTTAACTTTAGAAGAAGTCACCAACTTTAAGTATATCATGCAAATATGACAAAAATTAACTCTTTAAATATTACTTTTTAAAAAGATAAAAAAACATAATATCAAAAACAAAAATTAACTCACTTTCCGAATAAAACCCCATAATTGTATACTTATTTTGTGCTCAACCACTTAATAACCTTCCTTATGTTAGTTACCATGAGGTTATTAATCTAATTATAGCATTTGTTAGTGACTAGACTAAGGTCATTAGCTCTTGATACATTGTCTGGGGAAACGTAACCTTTGATGTTTCTGGCTTGTTAGACTAAAGAGTGATAATTTTTTAGGTCAAAAAGTTATAACTCTTGGTCCCAAAAAGTAATAACTTCTGGAATGTACACACAGAATATTTCTAAATTATTTTTGTTATTAATACTTTTATCCTTTTTTAAGTGTTTGTCAATATAACCTCTTTATTTTTAACAAATATTATTTTAGTCTAAAAATAATTAATGCAAAAATTAATTATGGATTAAACTTTTAAAAACAAATTAACGTAGTTTTTAATTTGAATCTGATAAATAAAAAAGCAAAAATAAATTTTAGTTGCAATGATTTATTTTAAAATTCACATTGAAAACTTCCTCATAAAAATATCATATATTGTAGAATCGGTTAATATTTTTTTCTCTATCCATTTATTTATTAAGTTAAATTTAACCCTTTATTTTAAAATGGTTTAGTTTTGATAGTTATTTAACGCAAACCAAATCAATGACCCTAAATTGGGGTGTATGATTAAGTTGTTTACACTCTATAAATAATATAAAATACTACCAACTTAACAATAATTCAATATTTTGTATAAGTTACAATTTTATTTTTGAGTACTTAAAATAAAAATTTAAGAAAACTAAGTTACATAAATATTTAAATATATTCGTAATATTATATAATATTAAAAACTTAAAACAATTAATATTAATATTTAATAGTTATACATTATATTAATACATTATGTTAAATTAAAACTGATGAAATAATTATATTACAATGATAATAATTATTAATGTTATTTTTATTAGTAACCTACGAACTTAATAATTTTTTATTTTATAATATATTTTTAAATAAAAACTGAAAATTATAAATTTTTCAATTTTAAATTTCAAATTTAATTTACCTTTTAAAATTAAAATACATAAAATATTAAATTTTTAATTTAAAACAATGAAATTTGTTCCTTGTATTCCTATTTTATCTTTAATTGTATTCTTAAATTAAAAACTATAAACTTCTCATGTATATTATAATTATTCAGATACCAACATTATAATGCACTATCAAATCACCAACCTTTTATTAAAAGTATAAACATTATGCGTTAGAAGTAAGTTGTCACCCGTCATAATAAATTTTAAAACACTAACTTCTTATTAATAAAATACTTCTATATTTGAAAAAGTAGTTTCTAAAATGACAAAAGAGTAAATAATTATTTAATAATAATAAAAACGTAATTATTAAAATATTAAAATTGAGAACTTTTTTCATAAATTTTAAAAATAGTATTTAAGAAAATAAAATTGAAAAAATAAAAGAGGAGAAGAAAAGTTGTTTTGTGTGTGTGAAATATTATAAAGTTGTTGCACAAAAATGCTTAAGGTTTTTATTTACAATTTTGTTCATAAATACTTAATTTGTAAAAGAATATATAGAAAAATGAGTAAATAATTTAATTTCAATTAAGTCCTCTCATGTTATGTTTATTATAATTTAGTTTTTGAAAAATTATTAAGAAAAAGTTTAATTTTTAAAAAGTTATTAAAAAATTCAATTAATGATTATGTAATTTTTAAATAATCAGTCCAAAAGCTATAACAATTTGTAGTTGAATTATAAATAAAAATATATCATCAGTGCACTATTACTAAAATTTTTATTACACTTTAGCAGTGAAATAAAACTATAAGTTTTAAATTGAGGATATTAAGCATTATTACATTATTTTTTAGGAGTTATAAAAGATATTACAGAAAGTAATATAAAGAGACATAACTGTGGAATGAAAAGCTTTGATATAGTTTTGGAAATAGAATTTAAATTGTTTTTGGTGTGTAAACTTGAATTTTGTATTCTATTATGATCTAGGGTTGAGTTGGTAGGTAGCATGAAATATAAGTATTATGTTAATGAAAACGTGAAGAGAGTGAGTCCTGCATGAGAGATAGCATTGGAAGTTCACACGTAGAATAGAGACGAAGAGATTTAAAAACACGTAACAGTATGGTATTTGTTGGATCCGCGGTTGTAACAAAACAAAGCAACCTAAGTAGATTTTTCCTTAATTTGACTTTTGAATATGTTTGCATATAAATGCAGTATGATTTACGTTGGTGGCATAGGGTCCCATTCCATCAAACTTTCATACTCAATCTTCATCACATGAGACGTGGCTTCTCGTTAGCTTAACTGACTGACACAGCTCGTGTGCTAACGCACGAGTCTGCTAAATAATACTTTTCTATTTCTTCTAATCCATTCTATTGGTTAGCTCTACCTCGTGTTGCCTTATCTTTCACTCACTTTCACGTTGCACATTCAAAGTTTATATATTCTAATAATTTCAAACAATATAATATCAAATAATATAATACATAAAGATTAAATTTTTAAATTATCTTTTATTTGAATTTTGATTTTAAAAAAAAAGGGCTATAGTAGATCAGTCCACACCCGTCAGCTTCTGGTCACCATTTTAACAGGTCGAAACGCATTACTAGATTAATAATTTCAACCAGGCCTATCAAATTTTGTGAACTGACGGCGGAGACCACTGGACCATATCCATTTTATCATATCTATGCATCTAACATAATGTTTACATATTAACCTTTAAATTACTCTACAACACTCTCTTTCATAATTTAATGATTTAAAGGTCACTGCATTTAAGATTCTTTTTAAATTTTTTAAATGCTTCATCTCATATTTACTGTTATTCATATCTATGCATCTAACATAATATATACCAATTATAACCTTTAGGCTATGTTCGTTTGGAGTGATTTGGGGGAGATGATTTGGGGGAGATGATTTGAATGGATTTGAGTGGATTTGAGGGTAATTTTTTTGTTGGTTTTTTTAGTGGATTTGTGGGTAATTGAGAGTGGATTTGGAAGTAAAGTTTGTGAGAATTAGTGTAGGATTTGATTGATGTGATAGATTTTAAAAATTAGTTTAATTGATATAAATTAAAGATTACCAAAATGTCCCTAGTTATAAAATGTTATTTATAAATGTTATATTTAATTGTAAAAATGTTTATAAAAAAAAAATTATGAATAATTTATAAAATTAATGTTTAAAAATTAAAAAAACTAAATAATCAATTTTTTTAATAAATTAGAAAATATAATAATCAATTTATTAAAAAAAAATTAGAAAATATAATAATCAATTTATTAAAAATAAATTAAAAAATATAATATATCTAATTTTATTAATATTAAAATAATTATAAAAAAAACTTGAAAAAAAAAAAGGAAATCGCA